TGGTTATTATGCGCTATTTGTAAACCAACTTTCATATCTACTTATATACAGTAGCGGTCAAAAGTCTTCGCCGAAATTGTTTTTCGACTGTAACTTTTTTTCCGCTGAATCAAATCAATTCAAATTTTAATATGTTTTAGAGATAGTCCTACTTCACTTAAACGGCATATTTGTTTCGGATTGAGAAAGAATTAAGAATGAAAAAAATCATTTCACTAGAAATTCTCGCGTATGAGCAAATTCCAAGTAGGTTTCAAATTACTCTAGCAAGCTTACAATTCAACAAAACAATCTTACGCATGATGAATAACTGGGCAGGTCCAATACTTTGTTAATGATCTTCTGGGTACGCTGAAATACTAACAAGGCCTAAGTAAGGAATCAGTCATTGAATGCAGTGTCTACAAGGGCAGCTTCCTCCACTTCTCTTGAAATTTGACGAGTTTCTCGCCCATATTTCCGGCTCTTATTTCCACCAAAGGTATCCCTACTCTTTCCCATAATGTTTCGATGGCGCTCGGGACATTGGTGTGAATTGTTCCCTTCGTTGAAAGCGCGCCATGCTGGCGAAGCCACTCCTTCACAGTAAAGGTGCGATGCTTTTCTTCGCACTAATGCTAGAAGGCGAGCTCAGTTTTGACCAACTGTCATACATGTGGATAAGAACTCCTTCTAGAACCCAACTGTATAGGCTGCCTTCACATGATTGCGAATACTGCGAAGTTAGTCGGCGGTGAAATGGTCGGGGGCGAACAGCTCCGCGGCTTCCGCACACTCGCGGGTCTGTAACGTATCCCATAGGGCTACAACGTCCTGCGGACCAACGAGAGTGAATTCAAGATGTTTGCCGGCGACTGAAATAGGAATGTGTGCGGTCCTGAGGAAAAACGTTTCGATCCAAGGAATTAACTGCCGTATGTAAAACTTGGCGGAGGCTCGCGTGTGGTAGTCCGTAAAAGAAGTTTTACAACTGCACAGGATTAGAGAAGTGGAGGATGCCGACGTATCAGATAGATTCTGGAAGGAGTTTCGTATTCGCTCGTATGAAACTGTACGTGACTGAGTTCGCCTTCTAGCTATAGAGCGACCAAAAGCATCGCACCTTCACTGTGAAGGATTGGTTTCGACAGCATGGCGCGCTTTCAACGAAGGGAACAATTCACACCAATGTCCCGAGCGCCATCGAAACATTATGGGAGAGACTAGGGATACCTTTGGTAGAAATAAGAGCCGGAAATATGGGCGAGAAACTCGTCAAAGTTCAAGAGAAGTGGAGGAAGCTGCCCTTGTAGACACTGCATTCAATGACTGATTCCTTACTTAGGCCTTGTTAGTATTTCAGCGTACCCAGAAGATCATTAACAAAGTATTGGACCTGCCCAGTGTTATTCATCATGCGTAAGATTGTTTTGTTGAATTGTAAGCTTGCTAGAGTAATTTGAAACCTACTTGGAATTTGCTCATACGCGAGAATTTCTAGTGAAATGATTTTTTCCATTCTTAATTCTTTCTCAATCCGAAACAAATATGCCGTTTAAGTGAAGTAGGACTATCTCTAAAACATATTAAAATTTGAATTGATTTGATTCAGCGGAAAAAAGTTACAGTCGAAAAACAATTTCGGCGAAGACTTTTGACCGCTACTGTATTCTTGGAGCAGATCAAGGCGTCATGTCTTCGGGAGCATTTTGCACAGGCCGATGGTGTATTGTTCGCCTGTGGGGCTTGGGGGGAGTCGTACTCGCGGTGGTAGGTAAAATAATGATGCTAGAGCATCACGCTCTCTTCCAAATAGGCTTTCAAATGAATCAGTGAATCAGAAGCGCGGCCGAGACGTGGCGCACACCATGGCAGGATGTCAGCGCATACGCATGCTTGAAGATAAACAAACCCTGAATTCAACTTCATTGATCTTCGAGAAGTTGCGAGCAGTTAAACCTGAAAAAAATACCCGCTTCTCGAGAGAATGACTCGAATGGTGCCCTTCCAAAGAAGAAGTAGAAAGGAGACAATTCTTTTAAACTATTAACTGAGAAAGTTTTCAGTAGACCTCTCGACACTCTTGACGCTATTGTCTATACTGTGTCCAGATTCCCCCCCCGAACCACCTCAACGACCGAAATTGAACACAGTTTATCGAATCGATCCCTACTTTTAACCGTTGAAAGTTGCCAGTTTTAAGAAAAACTAGCCCCAGCCTTACGTCAACCACGCCTTCTCGGATGCCATCCATCTCGAAAAAAAGTGGCAAATGGCGATAATTTCCTGAACATAACTCTCTTGAGATTTCTTGGGAACGTTTGGGTACTTTTTAGAAAGCTTGAATCCTGTAGTTTCTCATACCGTGTTCAGCTTCCCAAATGAATGACTTTGAAGGAAGTTATGATCGTTTAAAGGTTGAAAAGTCGCATTTGCACAGAAAAAA